CTGACAGTCTGCAGTTAAAGCACAATGTGTTTGTTTCATTCCAAATCCATTGTGGTGGTGTATAGAGCCAAAGATGTTAGAATTGTGTTGATGTCCCAATATTTCTGGACCTGACTGTATATATATTACCAAGAAATCATCTGTTCTGCACTAAATGCCTTGCATCATTCTGATTATGTCACTCCATCCCTTTTAATTTACTCTCCCAATCCATTTACTGATCGTTCCATTCATTTTAATAACTGTAACCACATAATCATAGCCTTTAAATTCTAAAATATGCTGGTCCTTAGCCAAGCTTGGGTACAACTTGATCCAGAGATCCCCAGGTTCCCTGTGGGATTAGACATTCAGGGAATCCTGCTTTGGAAGATGTGATTGCTAGGCATTAGCAACCTGCTGAAGCAGCTGAAAATCGCAATTCTTTTTACCCTATCATTCCTTATTCTTCATTACAATATCATCATTTCAAGCAACCAGCATCTACACTGAACTGAAATACTGCATTTTTATTATGAGTTGATCCCTTTAGCCTGTTCTTGCCATGAAACACTGCATTTATTTTGGACTGTAAGACACCCTGGAATGGAATGAATTAAACTGCCAGTTAAATCAGTTTCAGATATATTTCTCATGAGAACTGAACTCACTATGTTTTATTAATTATGCCTGACTTCCAGAAGTTACTGTAGATGATCAAAGTTGCAGTTCAACATAACCAGGATGGAAGGCTGACCTAGACATTTTTACAAAAGCATCTGAAATCACAATTTTCATATAAGTATTACTTGACTTTTTTAGGTGTGAACATAATTAATGGTGTATTTGGGGTATACATTTTTACATCTGTAAATTCTCTGGAAAACTGCAATCCAGGTACTGTACTACTTACCAATCATTGTTCTGAACAACATGCACAGGTCCTCCCCATAGGCAACTTACCTGTGCTGCATTAATTGACACATGTCCTACTATCACCACAACTCTTCCTTTAAAGCTCTGAAGCGTGGAAGTAGAGGGACACTGGATTAATTCTCCTTCAGCAGTGAATGCTGATCCAAATGGGATGTTAATGCTTCCTGGTATATGACCACGGTTAAAACTAGACAAAAAGATCTTTAGTTAAGGAAACGGAGGATGGGAGGAGGAGGAAAACAAATGAGCATCAAGTAGTAAAATTAGAAACCTTATACATGCTGCCATCAGATCAAGCATCAGGCTGCAGCATTCTCCTGACAGAAATGACCTGGGAAAAGCCAGGAAGGATCCCTGTCCCATCCTGACCCTCCCCTTAAAAGCAGCATTTACATGTACAATGGTCTGTCAGGACAAAGATGGGAAACTAAATTGCAAGCTGAAGTGCTGAAAAGAGTTCTGCAACTGCCAGTTATATTTTTCATAGGACACCTGGTAAGGGAAGTCCCAACAACAAAAGTTCACCAAACGTCTGCTTCAACCAGGCCTGTTTTCTACAATAGAAATGAGACCTAGAACAAAGGAAATTGTTACTCTAAAGTAGGAATAAGCAACTCAGCTGTAAACCTGGTCCTTAAGACTTCACTGAGGACTACAGAACTTAGGTATCCACCTCTCAAACTGACACACAGGTATTTAACCTCATCTTATCTAGAAATATGTGCTCTGCCAAAGTTTTCTTCTTCTTCCTAGTGACCCTACAGCAACTCACTGATTTTTGCTGTCATCAGCAGATTTGGTCTCCTCTACCTTGCAGTCTTTGCTGCCTCTGTAAGAATGTTGAGGCAGGTTCTCTTTCTTTCAAAATAGCTTCCCTATAACCAAGTAAAATTATTATGGACTTCAGGGTGACTTTTCAGAGTATAGGTAGATGTCAGACTTAATTGCTGTCTGTGTTCATGTGGAGATGAGCAACAAAGGAACCATGTGCTGCAGTTCTGAATGAGGTGCATGTGGGGTAAATTGGAGTTGAAATAATCCTGAACAAATTTTGTAAGGAAGAATGGCTGATAAACAGGCTTTATTCCTATGACAGAAGAGTAGCTTTTAGCTGATGGGAACAAAGATATGGGAGTCTACAGCAGAAATCAATGCCATAAAAATGAAGAGAGATCGTTAGCAACCGAGACAATGTTGAAGCCCAGATGAAGTCTCTGGGCCATGACTTTCCAGCTTCTGTGTTAGGGCCTTTAAGATATAATCCCAGAAGTACTAAGAATAAATTGATAACAAGGAGGTTACTTTTGAATATTCATGCATGAATACTCACTGTTAATGTTGATATGTGCTTTTTCATTCTTATGTTAAGCACAACACGCTCTCATCTGCATTCATGCAAGCAATATTCTTTCAATACATATTACTGAGTTGATATGTTTCTAAGGTTTTTTTGTTTTTTTTAAGTAGCTACTGTAAGATTCAACTGTTCAACCTTGGGATTTAACAGTTGTTAATATTGGTTTTAATATTTTAATAAAGTATTAATACCTGTGTGTTATTTTCTATTACTATTCCTACCTGACTTGTATGCTGCTATAAAATATTACTAATAAGAGTAGATTAATAAAGTTTCATAGAGCTAACCAAGTTGCAATTTCATCTACTGAGCACAAATGATTGGTTTGCATGCTAAAAACCAAGGCAATGACTTTTTATTTAAGTTATTGCAACACTACAACAAATTCTGAAATCCCTTAGGAAGGCTTATAGCTAATCTAAGATTAATACTAGTCTGAATACCTTTTAAAATGACTTGTGTAAGCAATTCCATTTGGATGACTGTCAAGATTATACCATGAGAAGCATAACAGAAACATTTGCTTGAGATCAACAAAAAGCTGACCCATCCCACTAGTTAAAAGAATTCATTAATTTCACCTAGCTGGAGGGAATAATTATCTTTTGCTTTAAACAACAACAAAAAAACATACAAATAAATCTACATCTTTATCATTAATGGCGTAATAGTTATTAAAAAAATAGGAAATCCCTTTCTGACAACTGTACAAATATACTCTTGATAAGAAGAAAAACATTTACTTTTGGTTTGGGTAACTGTTCTAGCATATCACTGTGCATGTCTTTAAAGTACTCACTCCAATCTTAGATGGCATCTTAACCATTCCAGGGGCGAGCTGACTATAAGAAGCAGAAATGTATGCAACAGAACTTAAGGACTGTAAAGAATTTCACTGAGATCCTCGTGAAAGCAATGAAACACCACTGGCATTCTTGCAACATAGTTAACAAACTCAATCTTTGAAAAAACTGCTGACTTTCTATTGCAAAAGCAAACACCACTTAAATGGTACATTGTTATTTCAACAAGCCCCAGACTGTGCCGTCTTTTAATACAAAGTTTTTCCTTATAAAGCTATCTTGGGGGAAAAAATAACCCACTACAGCTTATACCTGCAACATATATCAGATTATATTTAAAAAACTGCTTAGCTTCCATAGGAGTTTATATGGGAACCACCACTAAAATAAGAAATGAATATAATACATGTTGCTAGGTTTGGCCCAATGTACATTTTCCATCAAATTGTTATTCATTATACCCTTCCTAAACACATTGGGTGAAAATTATTAGGTATGAATGCAGATGTATCAAAGTGAGAGATGGTGAGCACAACTAAACTCTAATTGCACAAGTTAGTGACACTGTCTCAAAACAAATGGCTCAAGGTGACTGCATGGTTTGGCTATGTGTATATCTCTATGTGAGCACCAGATGTAATGGTATCTGGGAATGACCTTGGGAGATAGGAGGAAGAATCACAGCCTAGGAAATGGTCAGATAAGAGGCAGCTGAGCCCGCGGAAGGAATGGGAGCATGGCAAATGTCTCAGAAGGGACCCTCCCTAGTTTCTTGGGACTGTAAAGGCGAGGGGGGAGAGACATACTTTCAGACTAGCAAGATTCTGTTAATGTAACCTTACAATAAAGACAGTGCTAGTACTCCTGGTTGTGCTTCTTGTCTGGGCTAACTCAGGGCTGAGACTATAAGAAAGCAAAGACATAAAGTCAGACTCACATCCACTGGTTGACTAGATATCTGCATTGATATTTTGTTGGTATCCAACAAAAACAAATTTATGAGATTTGGAAATTAAATCTTTTTCTTTCTCTCCATTCAGTTGGACTGCCTAAAATTTCATAAAGCTTCATCAGCCTGAATATCATTTAAACTGCCTGGATACTGTATGGGTTGACCTTTAGCCTTCTTCCATAGGTGAGTTTTTCATTTCAACTGAATTAAGAGACTTCCAGATGCAACTCTTATTGTGAAATGTCTTGCTTTTCTTAATAGAATTTTATTCCAAAGTGTTTTCCTATTGCTTCTTCCATCTTTTTTTTCCTATCTACAAAAAAAACAAAACTTAAATACAAAAGAAATAGCTGCACAATTCTCTTAAATTGTTAACATTAAATTGCTCTGAAATCTAGAAACATTTTAATTTTTTTTAGATTGTACTGCATATGCAAAGTTATGACTAGGATTCTGGGCCTAAGAATCAGTAGCATAGCCCTGTTTTTGAAAATAAAAAGCCTTTTGCCTTAGACCATAAACACATTTTTTTTTTCACTACTGAGCAGCCCTTAGCTTTCAAATGAACTTCAGGGAGTACATTCCAACAAGTGGGAAGGGCTGGGAAAATTAATTAACATTTAATTTAGGTTAACTGAACACTGCTGGTATGATTATTCCCCATATCTCATTAAACATAATTCATCAGCAAACTGGGGGGCGGGGGGAGGGAACTCTGAGGGCCACAGCCAAGGATTGCAAGTTGTACATTCTTGCTTTAAGTAGAACACACAGATTCATAGTTAATGAGAGAAAAACAAAATGATCTCTATGAACTGAGAAATGCCTTCTGTGCTTGGGATACAGTTCTCCACTGGCTATGGATCTAAAGTCCCACACGGCACTGCCTCTTTTTGTAGTACTTCCTATTTAGGGATATATTTCACTGACCTATTAAAAGCCAACTTCTGGGTTTAGCAGCAAATCTTACAAGTGAAATGTTATTAACTTTACACATGCTACCTTGGAAAGAAAAGCTGCCTGTTAATTTCAACAAAGAGTTTTACTAGCAGAACTGCTCAAGTTTCTGTGAGGTTTTCTTAACATGTCATGAAGACAAAATTAAAAGCTTTCCTTATAAATGAATCTGGCTTAAAAAGATTAAACTACTGGAGAAAAGCTTCAGAAAACTAAATAAGGAAGAGCCAATTGATTAACACACTGAAGCTTGGCCTTGCAAACAGGCACGTGAAATTAATAAATATACAGAAAAAATAATTATACTTGATCATTGTTGTTTTAGTTAGTACAATATATTGAGGGATGGGTTTTGGCTTATATTCAAGCCATAGCAATTCTGTTTTCTTATAAAAAGTTGTGACTAAGAAAAGGGTGTTTCAATTTAAAAGTAATTCAGTTCTAAATGTTTCTAAATCTCTAGCACTAAAAATAAAAAATATCAGTTCTAATTAATGATACCTAGAGCATGCAGAGAGACAGGATTTCTGATTGGATCCTACTAATAAGCAGACATGTGGACTTTGAGAAGATAATGTTGAGTTATGGAAGCTATGCTGGATGAAGGAAAACTAGATAACTGGGGGGGTGATGGAAAGACAACAGATGATCCAGAATCTAGGGGAGAAAGGAGAAAAATTGGATCATCATTTTTCTTAATCCTTTCCTGGATAATGTAAATTGTCCAAGAGTTTCAGTAACCATTGATGCAGAAAATGCAGGAAGTAGACCTATTAGCCATTTATAACTGGCAGAGAAGGGAGCATAAAATCTGTTGGTAGAACTATGTGGACCATGTTTTGAAACTTCCAAAGCAGTCCAATGGTTAGGCTTAGGGGTAGAAAACAGATCTTACTTCACATTCAGTCAAGGATTTTTACATTAAATTTTGCCCATCACTATTTCTCATCCCAACCTATCATACAAGGGTGGCTGGTGTGGGTCTTCTGGGCTGTGTGGCTGTGTTCTCTCTGTGCCCCTGCTCCTGTCTGTGCTCCTGCACTCTGAAGATGCCGGTCACAGGT